CGATAATGAAGTGGTGTACTCTTCCTGAGAAAATGGTTCTAATCAAGCTCGGAATTTCAGCATAATATGTTTCGGTATTTCATTTCTGATGTCAAACCCCAATTTTCAATCCTATTTTTGTGGGATCATTGAAACTAGTATCCTTATTCTTGCAGATGAATCTGATAGTCCGCGTTCATACTTTGCAGCAGCGTCCACCAGCGACCAATGCGTCCACCAGCATTCCAAGCGTCCAGAAGCTAGCGACTAAAAATGCATGGATATCGATCTAGCGCCTACCAGCGTCTGCCAGCGTCCGCTAGCGACCAGCAGCTGACTGCTGAGTATGGGACGATGGGAGAGTACCAATGGTTTGCTAACCTAGTACCGACTATATGCTACCCTCTATCGCCCCATACTCGCCACTCCCGGACGCTGACGGACGTTGCCAAGTGGCTGGCAAGCGCTGATAGACGCTTGCACAAGCTATCAGACGCTGGGTCCATATCACCCTTTCCTACTCACTGACGCTGCCTGACGCTCAGACGCTGATGGACGCTGCCGCAAAGTATGAACGCAGTCACACCAAATTATCGCTCCCGGAGGACATGCTGGGCGGAAGTTCATCCGGGTATTCGTAATGTAATCAACGTTTAATTGCCGGGCAACGCGCATCCCAAGCGCGCCACTTGTCTCCACTCCACCTCCACCACCCGTCGGGGTTCGAACTCAGACCGGCTCCCTTTCAAACTACCTAAGCCTTCCCTTCCTCCAGGGGAGGTAAACTGGTACCAGATTCGTCTGAGAGAATAATAAACGTTGACATCGACTTGTACATCGACTGACCCCGCAGGTCATTTCGAAGGACAAGTCGCATTGAGAAAGCCACTGCGATTTCGATTGAAAGTAGAGTGTGTGGGGCATCCTAGAAAAGTTAACAACGAAAGCGCCATCTCATACAGCTATGCTGACGCTGTCAACAGGTTTAAGATGATACATATTTATTCTACTTTCCGGCAAGGAATCAGTGGTACGGTGTAGCCCATTTTGCGAGGGATTTGGGCTTAGCAAAGCTGATACTATGCTTCCAAATAATTGCAGGTGGAAGCCAAAACAAGGCCCCCGATTCCATTGTTTTCACAACTCTCTTT